TCTGGGAGTTGAAGTCCACTCATCTTAAAGTGGCCAAGTTTGGACAACACTGCCTTACACCATCATCAGTTTGTTTATCATTAAGGTACCCAAGACACTATGTTGTTTCTGCTTTTAGAGACAAACAGGGCTGTCCCTCTGAAAACCCAGTGCTTTCCTTTTTAACATCTCCTTTGAAATAAGTGTCTGCAGAGAGGAAATATGGGAGTAAAGCAAGGAATTGGTCATTTCCTTCATTCTTTGAAAAGCCTTGCTCAATGCAAGAAGACTCTTAAGTTCAAACTGTGAGTGGTAGGTGGGATGTGATACCCCATTAAACAAGCACATGGAAAATGACTGCTCAGCTTGATCTTATTACATCACAGCAGTGTGGACAGGAGGAAAACATACCATTGAATTGTGGTTGACATTGTGTTACAGTAAGACTGTTGTAATAGCATGGAGAAGAACTTTGTACTATGAAAACAATCAGAAACTTATTCTGTGGCCAATCTGATAACATGGCAGGGGCTCGGCTCCTAATTTGAAAATCACAGTTTTTTCCCCCCCTTTGTGTTTTCTTGGAAGCTGTGGCCAAGCAGAGGCATTAATACTTTATATCAGCTTATTGCCAGTTGAGCTTTTAAAACATCTGAATTAATGCAAGAGGAATTTTGATTGCTTACGGTTGCAAAATGGGTAGAACATGTTTTGGATCATTCTAAGCATACAGTATTTTTCAAATAAACAATGAAAGTACTGCTAACATGGGTATTAGTTATTTGCAAGAACTTCAAAATAAAAAGTTGGAAAATCCCAGATTAATCGATCAGCGGCCAAGGGTCATTAAATGTTATGTTATTAAAAAGGGATTAATTCAACAAAGTAACTCTTCAATGTTGGAAAAACCTTGAATCGACAATGTGTTTTCCTTTTCCTTTTATGAACTGGCTCTGTAATCAATTATTTCATATGGTCAAGGTTTAATTATGTGCTTAAAGTTGGGATGAATGATTTGCTCTATAATCCCTTTTGTTTTTTTTCAGTTTGTTTTTCATTTTTGTTTTCCTTTTATTCTCAAAACCAAGTCAAACCAATTCACTTCATGTAGCATACTAATACAGGAAGGAAAGAGCTACTGTAGAATTTTTCTGTAGTGGGCTTGTTTTCTAGCAGCAAGGAATTCTAAGAATGGAGAAACGCTAAAATAATATGCTACTTGATTTGGCTGCATGTATAGAAACAGATCAGAAGCATGCACCAAAAGGGTTAATGTGCCTATTTCTGTTAA